CCGCAACAAAATTAGCATCTTTATTTTGCTAGCTATTTTAATAAACTGAAATTTTTTTAATTAAAAAAAGAACGGATGATTGAAATGAAGCCATTTATTAATTGCTTGTCACAAAATAAAAAAAAATACTTTTCTAAAATATTCAATATATAATTTATATTTAATACATGCAAAAAAAAAAAGAGAAAAAATCAAATAAATGTTTTTTTTTTTTAAATTAATTTTCTTTTTGCTGTTTAAAAAAATGTTTCCTTCATTAATTTTTTCATGTTTCATGAAATTTTAATATCATTTTTTCGAAGTTGAAGAAATTTTGATTTCCATATTAAACCAAGAATTTTGTTTTACTGTAGGTGAAGAAGGAGAAAAAAAAGTGAAAAAAAAAAAAAGAAACGAATGAGCTAAAATAATCGTAACGAATTAAGCAACAATAAATTTAAAATTCCCTATTAAATTTTTAATCTTTGAAGTTTTATCAGGTTTGAGTTTTGTCCTGGTAAAATGCTCCAAGATTTTCATGATTATTGTGATCTATTCTCTGATGATGATGATGATAATTGATAATGATTATGATAATGATAATGAATGCAAATGTACGCACATGCAATTGTTATATGATTGAAATGAATAATTTGCTAATCTTTACTTAAATTTTTGGAAATTATTTACTTTTTCAAATATTTTTAAATGATAAAAGAGATAGATAATTATTGATCAAATCAATATGGCATACCATTTGCATCATTTGATATGAAGAATTAATATCGATCGAAATTTTCAATATTACTATCCTTATTTCTATAGGTACAGTTAATTTACTCAAAATATTTGCTTATGAAAACTGTTGTATCATAATTACGAAAATTATAAATTATACCAAAAATGAAGAAGAAATCGGTTAATCAGTTAAATCAATTAACTGATTCAATTGATTGATTTTAATTAATCGACTTTGATTTTGATTTAATTTGGCCGATTTAGCCGATTCATTAATTAAACTACATTAATGAGTTCATATAACCGAAAAATTTACTTGCTAATTCTAAATTGAAAATTCTATGCTAAATACATGATTTCAAACTTTTAAATTTCTATGCTAAATATATGATTTCAAAATCAAAAAAGAAAATCTATAAATCCCTTTTTTTCCATAATTTATCTAATAGTTTAATTTTAAAACTATTTCGAAATTCGTTTTTTGCTAATATTTTCCAAAATTTTTGATACTGCTGAAATTTCCATTTCTTCATAATTTTTCTTTACAATCAATCTAAATTTACAACCCTATAAGTTATCTACCGATAGCTTCAATTTCAATATTTGACACTTTTCAATATTTCAAAATTTTTTTCTATAGTTAAAAACTTTTCAAGTAGGGAAAATAGGTCTATTGCATTTTTACTACATATAATCAATTTTATACTAAACATACAATCATAATTAGTTTTAACTTAGTAAATTTTCTAATTAGGATGCGATCAAAAGATATATGCAATCATTTTTATGATTTTCAACGTTGTAATCATATCATTATTATCATTATTAACATGAGTGATTGATTATTTGATTATTCTTTCTGCTTTACATAGCCTTTGAAATTTGCTCCTAATAACTTAATGGATTAATCAATGATAGTATAAGTTAACTAAATGCAAGATAGATAAAATTAATTTGAAAGAAAGAAAAAAAATAAATAAATAATGGAATGAAATTTAAATATAGATGATTTAACATCAGCTGAACGAGGAAATCCAAATGTGATGGAACATTTGATGACAATCAATCGTGAATACGGAAAACCTGATTATCTCTTTGGTAGAAGTGCTCGTAATGATGTGAGTTTTAAGTTTTCCAATATTTTCAAAAAAAGAAAGGGAAAGGGAGAGAAAGAGAGAAAGAAAAAAAAGTGAAAATTTGATTGAAATTATTCGAAAAAAAAAATTATCAAAATAGTTTTTTTAGAAAATCAAAGAAAAAAAAAATGAAAAAAATTTAACATTATGATGCATTTAATGATTTTTTTTCCTTCTTTTTTTTTTTTGAATTTGCATAACATTCATTTCATTACATGACTTAATTAAAATTGCTATCAATTAATGGAATTGTTATCAATTAATCATTTCTTTAGAATGTTTTCAAAAATGATAAATGATTAATAATAGATTCGTGTCATTAAGTATTGAAGAAAAAAGAAAAAAAAACGAAGTAAAAATGATAA